CAAAGCAAATTCTCTTGGTTCAAAGAAAAAGGGAAAAAAACCCCACCCAAATCAGGAGAAATGTTCCAGTTCCTGTCTGTACAGTACAGCCAATTTGGACCCTTCTAAATATTTCAATCTGTTGGTGCAGAGGCAATAACATAGCAGAGTGATACTTATTAATAGAGCAATAACACTTGCACTTATAAATCAAGGTTGGTGAATTATCCCCGTTCACAAATCGTGATTTACAGCTCAGCTTTTCCATCCTCACTAAAGAACGTCGCATTTCTCAAGCAATTCCATTTGCTATCCGTGGCTTCCTTCCTTGCCATTTCTGAAAGAAATGTCATTAAAAAACACACCGACTTGGTGCTGAAAAGATGGTACAGAATAGTAATGTGTGTATAAGGTGACCGGGAGGACACAGTACAGCCCAGTTTGCTATCAGTTTATTAAGAAGGGGGAAAGGATCTTAACAGCTTTCACAATTTCCTGGGTTCCTTTCAGATCACACCACGGCTAATTCCCAGTCCATGCTAAGTCGTAATGTTGTTTATTTAATTCTGGCTTGTTTGTTTACGAATCTAGTCCTGACTCACACACTGTACAAGGAGTCCGCAACTTAACAACAGTTCGTTGAGGGACTGTTCAAAGTTACAACAACATTGAAAAATGTGATTTGCGGCCATTTTTCACACTTACGACCTTTGCACATCCCCAGGATCACATGACCAAAGTCCAGACGCTTGGCGACTGCTTCATATTTATGACATTTGCTGTCTCCCAAGGTCATGTGATCCCCTTTTGCAACCTTCTGACAAGCCAACGGGGAAACCAGATTCACTTAACAACTGGGTTACTCACCAACTGCAGTGATTCACTTAACGGCGGCAAGAAAAGTCATAAAATGGGGCAAAATTCACTTAACCAATGTCTCACTTAACAACGGAAATTTTGGGCTCGGTTTTGGTCGTAAGTTGAGGACTACCTGCCTCTAATCATGGTAAATCATGGTTCAGGCTGTTAGGTGTTTGTGGAGAATATCTGTAACTCGGCGCTGAACTGTGGAGTCCTTGATGCTCTCTCTGAAACTTGGTTGTTTTCTTGCAAATGTTTCACTACCCATTTTGCGAGCTTTTTTTGCCACCGTTGTGATGTGAATCACTGCAGTCGTTAAATTAGTAACATGGTTGTTAAGTGAGTCCGACATCCCCCATTGAATTTTCTTGTCAGGAAGTCACAAGAAGGGATCACATGACTCCGGATGCCGCGACCATCGTAAATATGTGCCAAGTGTCCTAATTTTGATCACATGACCTTGGGGGTGCTGCAACAGCCGTAAAGGTGAAAAACGGTCATCAGGCACATTTCCCAGTGCCGTCGTAACTTTGAACGGTCACTAAACGAACCGTCGTAAGTCGAGGACTATCTGTGCACGGTGTGATCCTCAACTCACCAACATGATTGAACCTGCCATAATATGTGCAGCATATTTGTTGTTTTTGATAGCTGGGTTTACACCTTGTAGTTTGACTGAGGTGGCATTGTTAAGCTTCACCAAATCCAAATCTTACTTCCGAATAAATCATAGTCGATATGGTAAAATCCAGGTTTAACAGTCAAATAGGCAAAGTAGGCAAATCTATGTTTGCCATGATTAGGGTGTAACGACAGATTTGACTCCTTCTTTTCCGAGAGGACAATAATGCCACTAGTTGTGGAATTACTGGCATAACTTTGTCTCTTTCTGAATGAGATGGAGACCAAAATACTTATTAGAGTCGTGAAGCTTCCTAAGGCTGAACGTTACTATTTCGATAGCAATGATGCTAAACATTTATCAGTAGATCAACGTAAACACACAACAAAAACACCCTTCCTGATTTCCTCCCTCCCTTCACGAAACTGTATTTTAGGTAAAACGATTGCCATATAATAATGGAAAATTACTTTTAAAGAGAGAAGCATCTGAAAGTTACAGGGGGAAGAGTTTTTTTTTTTTAAAAAACCAGAACCCTAAATCCAATTTTGCACATTTTATTGTTGCACGTTGTTCATCACTCCGCACATACTAATTAACTGCACTTGTTTATTCGAAGGATATCCCTAGATTACAAATGCATCCCAACGTGTATTGATAAAAGATAAAGATAGGAAAGAAAGCAACCGTAAGGTAATTGAATGAATGCAAAGGGCTACTTCCCCCCCCCCTCAGTGTAATCTTGCTCATTCTTGTATAGGTTTAGGCTGTTGTAATCCACACAGGGGCTTCTTCAGTGAAATATAAGGACATTTTTCACTCGTGTTTTTTGAATATGCCGTCTAATTACAACGCTCGGCCTTTATGTTTGTTTCCAATGCATAGGATCTATTGGTAAAACGAATGTCATTTTGCGGTCTGTTATGCAGAAAATGTTTAATCCAGTGTTTGACTGACTCTGTTAAATCTTTTTTATTGAATGTGCTTATTCGTCCATGCAGAATTGAGTATGCTCCTTTTCTGTTACTATGACACTGCAATTAAATAGCTAAAGGGGGTGGTGGGGGTGGGGGAGACTGCAAGACATTTTTCTAATGGGCCATGCCGTAGCTATAAAAGTTATTCATATCTGTGTTTTCCCCACCCTCTCCCTTCTTCTTCTCCTCCATGAGATTTTATCCAGGGATGGGGGTGTGGGAAGCAAATATTTTGGCAGAGCAGGAAAAACAACAAATCCTGCAGAAAAGAAACTTGGGTTTCCATTTGGCCAACTCGGCTGCTCATGAAAACAGCTTTTTTTTCCAGCTCAGTGAGGAATGACTGTCAGGATGAAATGAAATTGCCTTGACGGTAGTTTTATGGATAAATTTAACAGGACCTAAGGAAAGCTGGTTGTTCTATCTAGAGAAATACTCAAAGAGTTGGAAGATTTGGAAGTCTTCTACTCTAATAAAGGAGAATATTTGTAGGTCAGACTTGAAACGAGGGATCCTTGGTGCTCTCTGTGCCTGGTTGTTTTCTTGCAGATGTTTCATGACCCAAACTAGGTAACATCATCATCACTAGCACTGATGATGTTACCTAGTTGGGTAATGAAAGGTCTGCAAGAAAACAATCAAACTCAGCACCGAGGACCCTTCTTCTTCCACTCTCCCTGCCCACCTGGGTCCTCTGGAAGCTGGGACTTGCAGACTAGTGAAATAATCTTTCTTGTTGGTTGCATATTGGTTGTTCAACAAAAATTCATAATGTAGTTGCTCAAGGTAATCAAATGGGAATCACTATTACCGCACCTGTTTTTACAATCTCTTTTGCAGTGGTCATTAAAGTGAACGGAATAGTCTTCTTGGAGATCTTCTAGTCCAACCCTCTGCTCAAGCAGGAGATCCTATACCATTTCAGAGAAGTGGCGGTCCAGTCTAGCTTGCTTTGCACCATCGTAGTAATAGGGGCTCTTTGGCCATCGTATAATTGGCTTGCTTTAAATATAAGTTTACGTTATAACTTATAAAACACACATTAAGGCAGAACCCTGAGCATTCGATAGCTTTGTACAATATATGAGCTTCAGGTTAGACCAGGGGGTCTTCAAACTTGGCCCTTTTATAACTTGTGGACTTTAAATCCCAGAATTCCTCAGCCAGCGTACCTGGCTGAGGAATTCTGGGAATTGAAGACTACAAGTCATAAAAGGGCCAAGTTTGAAGACCCCTGGGTTAGACTCTGAAGCTGTTTGCATGATGGATAAGGGGACAGGTTGATGGGCACACCTCTATGTAGTAGCTACACTCCTCGGAATTGTGGCTCCATAATCAGATTTAGAGGCTTACTCAAGTCTTGTTAGGTTGTGAGATCTGGACTAGCTGTTGCCATTTGGGATTGACAGAAAAGGCATTTCACAAACATGGCAAACAAAACAGAGTTAGTTTGGTCTAGTCTAGTGCAGGGCTTTTCAACCAGTGGTACGGGTACCACCTGTGGTACATTGGCACCTGGCAGGTGGTACGCGACCATCCTAGAAAAGTGGTAGCGGGGGAGGGGAATGAGCTGAGCCGGTGGCAGCACCGCACAAGCCTGAGCGAGAGACGGCTGGAGCTGCAGGGCTGTCAGGGCTCAGCGGAAGCGCCAGGATCAGCGCCAGGCTCCAGCTGGAGCTGGGCACTGATCCTGGTGCTTCTGCTGAGCCCAGAAGAAGCACCAATCAGCTGGAATGTTGCAGCATCTCCAGGGTCTTGTGATTTGCATTCAGATGCTTGGCAACTGATTTATATTTATGACGGTCACAGTATCCCAGGCTCATGTGAAGTGACCAAAACCTGCTGCAACCACCCAGCAGACGGGGGGAATAAAAACCAAACACCCCCCACCCCACCCCTGCTGCCAATCCTCAACAGAAATGCTCACAACAATGAAAACCTCAGACAGGAGGAAGAGCGCCGCCGGGCGGGCAGGCAGGTGTCTTGGTCGGCTGTGACTTGGGGGGCACTTTTTTCAGTGCCATTGTAATTTTGAACAGTCACTAAGCGAACTGTTGTAAGTCGAGGACTACTTGTACTTTATCACTTTTTTCCCTTTTTTGGGGGGGGATCATCAAGTTTTTGACACCTTGCTAGGCGACTGGTGGTACTCGGATATTGCCATATCCTAAAAGTGGTACAATGGGTGAAAAGATTGAAAAGCCCTGGTCTAGTGCTTAAGGCACTGGGCTACAAAAGGAGAGATGGTGACTTCAAATCCTTCCTTAGCCATAAAAAGTTGGCCGGGGTGACTTTGGGCCAGTCCCTCTCTCAGTCCAGCCCACCTCAAAGGGTTGTTGTTGTGAGGAAAACAGGAGGAAGATGCGTTGGGTATGTTTGCCGTGTTATTTGTAAAAAAAATAATAAAGGCAGAATACGCCGCAGGCGGCAAATTCGAAAAAAACGAACTACACTCCCCACAATGCCTCGCGAAGGAGCTTCCGGCCCCCCCTCTCCGCCTCGACTCACTTCCGCCAGCCATCGGCCGAGGCGTCACGTGACCGCGGGCGAATTCCCCTCCCAAGATGGCGGACCGCCTGCCTTCCGAGTTTGATGTGGTGGTCGTGGGCACGGGTGAGGGAGATCGCGGGAATGTAACGTGCGAACGGCTGGCGGGGTAGGGAAGCGTGTCCGAGCCGAGAAGGGGGGTGCTGCCGAGGTTTGGATCAGGGCGCGATTGGCCAGGATTTTGGACGCCAAGGGGAGAGAGAGAGAGAGAGGAATCAGCTTTGGAAATGAACCCGCGTCCTTTCCTGGATCAGGTGCAACCCTTTGTAGGGGGGTGGACTACAATTACCATCGTCCCCAGCCAGTCCAGGCCGGAAGGGGAGACGATGCCAGGCTAAGAGTGGTCGCTGCATCGTTGAGAGAAAAGAGGGCGGCGGGTGCTGTTGGCTCTTTGGGTTCATTATTATTATTATTATTTTGTAGATTTATGTGCTGCCTTTGCTCTAGGTCAGCTGCTGACTCAGGAATTCTGGGAGTTGAAGTCCATGAGTCATAAAAGAGCCGAGGTTGCCTACCCCTGCTCTAGGTCCAGGCGTGTTCAATCTTTTGGCTTGTCTGGGTCGCATTGAGGAGGAATTGTCTTGGGCCCTATATTGTGTGTGTGTATATATATATATAATACAGAACAACAGAGTTGGAAGAGGGACCTTTGAGGTCTTCTAGTCCAACCCCCTGCTCAAGCAGGAGACCCCATAGCATTCCAGACTAATGGCTGTCCAGTCTCTTCTTAAAAACCTCCAGTGATGGAGCGCCCACAACTTCTGGAGCCAAGTTGCTCCACTATAAATTATATATAATATTGTTAACAGTTTATGATCTTGCTCTAGGTGCTTGTATTGTTCTACATTGCACCCTTTTCTTCTATTTTTTTTTTCACAGCAGTCCAGGCTGAAAAAGGGTGACTTCAGTTCTAGTCCAACCCTTCCGCTGACAATGAACCACACTGATTTCTGTTTCTGACAAATGGCAGGCACATTTGAGAATCCCTTAGTAGCTGTCTTCCTGATGTTATTCTTATTAGGACAGTTCTAACTGTATCAGGATAGAAACAGCTTAAATGAAATCTGTCTGTCTATCTCAGCGTCAACTCCTGACAAGGGCCTGCAGGTTTTTGGGCAACTTCACCAAACGGTAACGGAGGAAGGATCCCGACTCTCTCTCCCTGACCAGGTTCCAGTGGGTCGACCAAAGTACAGACTTCGTGCACAGATTCTTGAGTAGTACCACGAAAAATTGGTGTCGTGGTTCAACCGAAAGGTCACCTTTACCGAACGGAAAAAAGTAACGACAACCGACACGACCCTTTCTCTCTCTCTCTCAGACAGACAGACCCAACTGGCTTGTGTCTAAGGCAGGATTAGAATTCATGGTCTCTGGATTATTAGTTTGTTAATTTACCACTATACCAAACAGGCCCTCCAAGGGAAGTGGTTTGCCATAGCCTTCATCCATTTCCATTGCTTTCCTGGAGCTAGATGGAGAGACTGCTCCAAAGTTCCTCAATAGGCTTCATGTCTATGGCAGGACTAGAACTTATGGTCTCTTTAACTCAAGGGTCTTCAAACTTGGCCCTTTTATGACTCATGGACTTCAACTCCCAGAATTCCTCAGCCAGGCATGCTGGCTGAGGGATTCTGGGAGTTGAAGTCCATGAGTCACAAAAGAGTCAAGTTTGAAGACCCCTGCTTTAACTGCTGTACCAAACTGGCTCTCCTTGCCTTCAAGTCAGTTGACCTCTGGTGACTGCCTGGAGTAGTCTCCACAGTTTTCTTGACAACTTTTTTTGGAAGTGTTTTGCTATCGTCTTCTAGAGGTGACTGGCTCAAAGTCACCCAACTGGTTTTGCGCCCAAGACAAGACTAGAACTCAAGGTCTTCTGGTTTCTAGCCTGGGACCATAACTACCATATCAAACTGGCTATCTTAGGCAGAAGAAACCTTGGGATGGGTGGCTGGGTTTGTGTTTGCTCAGGGGAGTAATAGAGTTAATCTTTTGGGTATTTACTGGGTCCTAATGAAAAATCGGATGGATGCATTGGATGGATCATACAAAACCTCACACAATTCAGAGTCCTCAGTTTTCTTGTCAGTTTCTGGAAAATACACCTTTTCTTTCTGTAACTGCATTTAGTTCATTTGCTCCAATTACTTTTCATGTTGGGTCTGAAAGTACTACAGATACAAATTCCTTTGACTTTTGTTTTGTTTTAACATAGTTAATATGGATGACAAATATTTTCAGGATTTCAAGCCAGGTTACAATGAATCCATAACATTCATGCAGTAACGTGAAATAAAACTGTTTTAAAAATAAAATAATAAATTATTTGCAATTCCAATTATTTATCTGTCCACACATTTTTTTTAAAATTTTTTGATCTCTCGTTGTAGAGTACTGAGCATATAGTTCTTTGCAGACATTAACAGAACCCAGGCATATCATCCGGATGAATAATGCTATTATCAGTAGCTAGCTATAGAAAAGCTCTGGGTTAAGAGTGCCTGACAAAGACTGTCTAACACATTAACCTATGGTTTGTTTAACCAAATGTTATTGAATAAACCATGCCTGCCTGAGGTCGTGCAGTATGTTTCACTAAAACCAGCTAAAAAACATTTTGGGTTTACATGCTTTGTGAATGCAGATAATTACAATTCATTCAAACTTTAGTAAATCATGAGTTAAACTGGGATGTTTTGTTCACTGTTCCCTCTCTCTGTCTGCCTGTCTATCTATCCATTCCTAGGAATTTATTCTTCCCTTCCTTTCCCCCCTTTTCTCTATGTACTTGGTTATTTCTGAAATGCTAGCACTGATTTACATATCTATTTTTACTTCATGACTAATAAAAATGGGAAATCTGTAGGATCTGTCATACATGAACATTATTCAGTCAGGATCTGAAAAAGGAAAGGAGGCGAGATTGTTGTGCAGGAATACAAACTAATTTGAGGGCTAATCCACATAGAGCTCCATTTCCATCTGTCCTGTTTGTTTGTCATCGTTCGCTCCCTAGAGACTAAAATGGACGATCTGAAACTTGAGCTGGCCACGAACAAGGAGTGTATATCAGAGGTGGTGACCCTTTGAGAGCTGTATGCAACGAAATTTCATTTTGATGTATGCTGATTGGTGTACATTCAAAGTGACAATAAAGTTGTTTGTTATTATTATTATTTTGCCATCGTAAAAGTACCATGAAGGACTGTCATGGGGTTCATTCGTTGTTTTCTTTAACTATTGTTTCTTTAGTCTCAATTGACTGGGTTTATGTGTATAAACCATGATGACTAATGCTTTAAGTAAGATGCAATAAGAAATACATACTGTGGTTTAACCCAATATATGTGTATATTGGTATATATATATATACCCAGCCTATATGATTGTTTGTATGTATATTCAGTATGTCTTAAACAATGGCCATAGTATGCCAAATATATTTAAATTGTGCCAATTTATGGTGATGGTCTTTTTTTTTAATGAAGGCCAGTTTATGATTATGTTTTTGAGGCTGTAATGGAGAGCTGGTTCACACAGTCTTCCAGATCAGGGGTCTTCAAACTTGGCCCTTTTATGACTTGTGGACTTCAACTCCCAGAATTCCTCAGCCAGCATATCCATAAGTCATAAAAGGGCCAAGTTTGAAGACCCCTGGTCTAGGTTGCCTCATATCTCACTACCCTTTCCAGCTGAAACAGAGTCAGGGTTTCCTGCCTGAGCAGGGGGTTGGACTAGATGACCTCCAAGGTCCCTTCCAACTTTATCATTATTATTATTATTATTATCATTATTATTATTATTATTATTATTATTATTATTATTATTATTATTATTATTTGTTAGTCACGCAGTAGCCCTTGTCCTGCGCATATCCCCTTGCAGTCTTATCTTAGCATTTCTAGTTATTTTCTGTATTTTTGTGCTTTTTCCCCCTCATTAGTACAGGTAAAGTGAAGTTTATATTTTATTTAATCTAAGTATTTATTAATTTTTCGGTTCATGTCTCATGTAATGATATACAACCCTATCTTTTTACATATTGCCTTAAAAAGGTGCATTGTTTTAGGTTTGGGAATTCATTTACATTATTCCTTATGGGAAAATTTTGTTTGGTACTTGTCATTTTTGGCACTCATTGCCCCACCCAGAACCGATTAACGAGGAGTACTGAGGTACCATTATAAATCTCAGAGCCAGATAATGTTGTTTTGAAATACCATGGACTTGGGATTGGGACCAAATTTGATTCTGTATTTTCATCACAGTCTGCCTCACTGTTCTTCATCCTAACTGGGATATTGTTGTGCTACTTAGCTGTTGTTTAACTTATAACCTATACTTTGTTCTCACCTGAAAGGTGTTTGTGGTTTCTGACTGTATGTCAGACACAGTCTCTTCTCTCTGTTTTCCCCTCTAAAAAGTAGTTTTATATATTAAAAAAAACAACCCCAAAGCTGAGCCATACATTTAAAAGACCAAGGTACGTTAAAAAGGGAAGAAAGAGAAAGACTAGGAGCGATCAATATTTATTGTGTACTTTACTGAAAGTTCCATCTTCCGTCCTTAGGTAAAACTTTATAAGATATTTTATTTCGCACTAAATATCGAGGGACACTAAAACCGACTTTCGCAAACCCGAAGCGGGTCAGTAGTCTCAGGACACAGAGGAAGCTGTTATTTATTGGTCGATATGCCAGGAATGGTGGTGATGGTATACTTTATGTTTATCTTATGTAAGTATAATGTTAAGAAAAATCAATTCCAAATACTAATACAATTTTTAAAATGTATCATGGCGCACTAGCCAAATATTAGAGACCCTGGAGCGTCAGGAAAGCTGGTTTTTAACCCTCTGCCTAGTTTAATTGCTTTGAATGTTGTGAGGTGTAATCTTTTGCCAGTTCTTTGATAATTTTGTGTTCCAGTGTTTAATACTAAATTGGGCCTTTATCGAAATTACGAATTATCACTGATCATTTTCAGGAGTTTTCTAGCCAGTGACTAAATCTGCACAAAAGCCATGCGCTCAGCGGCTGTTACAGTACTCTCTCTGCGTTGTTTTGATAGCATTGCCCCAGGATGTAACATTCACACCTTTCCTTGGTGTTAACATTCACAACAGAAAGCCCATTGCAGTTTCTTCTTGTACTGTAAAAATAACAATATTTAGGATTCCCTGGGGCAGCAGTAGTGACACGGACTGGAGTCTGGGGCGTTGCATGTAATCTTTTTCAGCAAAGGAAGATTTTTAGCCCAAGTGGGCACCAGTCTTATCCTGACAATGTGCCCATAAGATGCTGTAGAACAGGGGTCTCCAACTATGGCCACTTTAAGACTTGTGGACTTCAACTCCCAGAATTCCCCACAAAATATGCTGGCTGGGGAATTCTGGGAGTTGAAGTCCACAAGTCTTAAAAGTTCCGAAAGTTGGAGACCTCTGCTGTACTGTAGGACTAAAGTGCATTTAGTGGAGGTGGAATTCCAGCACCTTGGATAGCTCCATGTATGCAACTTCCTGCAGCTACTCAGGCTTGGTTGGGAGTTACGTAATACTTTCCTACAACATCTCCAAGTGTCCAATAGATTTCCTTTGGCATTTTCAGCAGCAATCTTTATTTTTGCAATAAATATAACACACAACAGCCACTTTATAAACCACTTTCAGGCTTTTGTGATAAGCCGGTTATAGTAGGGGAGAATATAGCATGTCACCCATCCTTTCTTTCAGTTTGCACATCACACTGGATAACAAATTTGATTTAACCATAGGCAATTGAATAACCACAATGTCTGGGACTCCCCAAACATTAAGCTATGAGTATAAGTTGTCCAGAAGCTTTTCTGCGTAGACTTTAATGTGAGGATAAATAATATTTTTGACAGCGTAAGCACATTTGGAGTTTGGAGGGTTTTCATTGGTATCCTCACAAGAAGATGTATCCATCTGGAAAGAAGATACTAAAAAATAAAAATAAACTGGTGAGGTTGTCCTTGATTCCTTTGTAGTCTGCAGGGGTGCTTTCTAGCACCCTCCCAATTTCTCTTGGTCATTTTTGGGAGGTGAGTTAAGTAGACACTCAAACACACAAGTTGTTAGCTGGAACCACACATGTACGTTCATTTTGCTTTCAAAGACGGGCACAGGATCTACAAGCATTTTTGCAAATCTCAATAATGCTAAGTTGATGCTTCACTTTATAGCAGATTTGGTCTTTATTTATTTATTCGGTCTTTATGTGTTTGCACATCGGTCTTACTCATAAGCCATTTGCTTGTGATTTGTTGATATAGCTATCTTTGGCTGAGTTTGCACAGCATCCTAAACCAGTGGTTCTCAACCTTTTCTTCCCCACGGACCCCCTTTATGTAGCTTTTGTGGCCACGGACCATGACCACGGACCCCCAAGACTTAACTCAAGATTTAAATCATAACATTTTTTTTCTAGCCTTCACGGACCTCCTGTAATGACAATGTGCCCCCCCCCCCAGGGGTCCAAGGACCACCGGTTGAGAACCACTGTCCTAAACCAGAATTCAGAGCATACAAACCACAGTGGTTGTGTACCAAACTTCCTTCCTTGAATCATTTGGAAGTACTAATACTACTGTAAAATGTCGGAAGATGTATGGAACCAGTGACGTCATATCTATGTCCAATGTTTTTTTAATTTTGTATTATTAATAAAAATTTATATTAAAAAAATTAAAAGAAAAGAAAAGAATCATTTGGAAGTAATCCAAGGAAGTCATTTATAATCAACTGAAAATAGTTTGATTCCTAGTGGTTTCATTTTTCTGCAATCTGCTGCCTTCCAGCTATATTGAGGAAGGCTAGCTCAGCAAAAGCAGGTTCTTCAGTAGCCAAGATATACTTTTGAATAGATTTTTATGCAGTTTTGTAAATATAGATCGCTCAGCTTTGGAGCTCGCACATAGTTGAACTAGATAACTGGTTCCTCTCTCTTACTATTTAGGTTCTATCACTCTCTCTTCTGCCTGTCTCTTTTTCCCAGTAATTTATTTGTACTAAGGCTGGTAATCTTTGAAATTCTAGTTACAAACTACCTTCTACAACTTGATGTCTATCTGCCTCTGATCAATGTCTTTTTTTTTTTTTTTACTGTGAAGCACTTCCCTTTTATTGCCTCCAGCAGTATCCCTTATGTTGCTTTTTTATTGCTTCAGGTGATATTCTAGATGTTGAATTCTAATGTATGAATCATTTGAAGTTGTAGCCTCTTCCCAAGTAAAAGAATTAAGGACAGCTTTCTGCCATTTAGTTGATCAGAATCCCAGTTTGTTAAAACAAAGCTGGCAAGGTTTTAGGCTTGCAGATCTGCTTTTTTTATTTATTTGCTATTAATGGATCGATCGATTGATTTTTTTAAAAAAAATTGGCATCTATATTTTGCCCTTCAAAACGTACAACACTAACACACCCTAAGCCCATCTTCTAGAGCAGTATTTCTCAGCCTTGGTTATTTCAAGACAGGTGGAATTCAATTCCCACAATTCCCCAGCCAGGCTGGGAATGCTGGCTGTGGAATTCTGGGACTTCAAGTCCACACATCTTAAAATGGCTAACATTGAGAAACACCTATTTAGATCAAAGCTCCTAATAATGATACTGAGAAAGGAGAGAAATCAATAGCCAAATTACGATTCACTTATCTGTTAAACCTCCATTTTGAGATATAAAAATGAATATCCAGGCATGAGAAACTCAAATCAGGAATTCTAGCAGTCTGATGAGAGAGAAATCCTACATGTCTGAGCAAGATCAAGGAAATAAGAACTGCACAGATTCCTTTTGGGGATTTGTTATCCTATCTGATAGGATTTTGGAAAGGAATTTGTCACAGAAAGTAATGGAAGGGAGAATAGACATAACTAATCTGGACATAGATCCACCTCTGTTAGTGTCAGAGAATGCAGGACGAGACCAGGCTGAGCTGGAGGGAGGGGTCAAACATGTCATAAGTCATGAATCCCTGAGCGCCCACAAGAGATCTAAGACCAGCCCACCTTGAATGCTTCTCTTATCTCCCGCTCTGTTCCCTTAACGGCCAGTTGGTCAGATTCTTCTAGAGAGCTTAAGCTTGCAATAAACCTTTATGCTCATTTGAACTGCCTGGATCTCCTAATTTCCCTGGTGCTTGACATCGAAGGATAAAATAATAATGGCTCACTTTTTGGGGGGGGGGGGGAAACGGTCTTTCTTCAAAATGCATGGATCTTTACAATGTTTCATCATAACCGATTTAATTGAAACCTTGTCTCTTTTATAGGCTTACCTGAATCTATCATTGCGGCAGCATGTGCAAGGAGCAACCAGACAGTTCTTCACGTGGATTCGTAAGTCCTTCCATCAGTGTACATTGTAGCTCTCGGTCAGTGTTTCCCAACCTTGGGAACTTTACGATGCATGGATTTTAATTCCCGGAAGTTGAAGTTTTAAGTCGAAACTTCTTAAAGTTTCTCAAGCTTGGGAAATACTTTTATAGGTCCTAACAGCCAATGACACCAGACAAAAGGCTGGCTTAATGGAGGAGGTCCTGACTTGATTCCTCCAAAAAAAAAGAAAAGAGAAAAAGAAAGAAAGAAGGAAGGAAGGAAGAAAGGAAGAAAGAAAAAGAAAGAAAGAAGAAAGAAAAAGGAAGAAAGAAAGAAAGAAAGAAAGAAAGAAAGAAAGAAAGAAAGAAAGAAAGAAAGAAAGAAAGAAAGAAAGAGAAGGGAAGGGAAGGGAAGGGAAGGAGGGAAGGAAGGAAGAAAGAAAAGAAGAAAGAAAGAAAGAAAGAAAGAAAGAAAGAAAGAAAGAAAGAAAGAAAAGAAAGAAAGAAAGAAAGCAAACATTGAAAGCCAAGTTACAAACCACAACTTTAGCCTTCATCTTATCGGGTCGGAACAAACTAGAATGACCCTTTGGCATGGTAGGTTAAACGATCCACAGAAAGAGCTTTTGTGGTTTGTTCCATCTTTTCTGCTGGCCTAAGAAGCAGGCCGGAACAACTGAAGGGTGTCTGCCAGCAACCTTCTCATTCGCAGTAAATCATCATGTAGGCAGTAGTTTCACAAAGGCAGTCCTTTTCAGGGATCATTGAACCAACCTACATTTTGCGCTGTAACTTAAGCAAATGTAATACATGCTAGATGTACTAACAAACCATCATAACATGTTCACTATCTGTTTGTGGTCCTGTTACCGCTAAAAGTCCGTGTGGTTTAGTGGTTGAACTACAAGCAGGGAAGTCCTAGTTCTAGTCCCTGCCTCCATCACTGCAGCTTCCTAGATGACCAGTAATACTCTGTCATCAGCTAGCACTGATGATGTCATCTAGTTGGGTAAGGAAACGTCTACAAGAAAACCACTCAGCTCAGAGAGCACCAAGGACCCCACAGTTCAACTGTGAGCTACAGATATTCTCGTCTGTCGGAACCCTCTCTCATCCCAACCTTATTTCTAGGGAGCAAAAATGGAGGGAGGGGGATGGACAGTGTCATGGATTCCTGAATGAAAAGGGGATAAAAAAAATCTATCAAATAAATGTAAATTATTTTATCACATGAAATAGCATATGAGATATTGCATAACTGTGCTCAGGGCTGATGCTAAGGCAATGCCAACTATAATATTGGGAACAGGCCAAACCAACAAACATCTAGAAACCATGATGGCTAGGTTCATACAGCGTGGTACACCCAAAGTAAGCAAACACCATGATGATTTTATGCAATGAATCCAGCCAATGTGTGCTTTTAAATTATGATGCTGGCCTTACCCACTGACTTCCACTCTGAGTCCATAAGCTTTTCACGTAAAACCCATGTATGAATGGGTTTGTCGATTCTTCAACAAAAATATAGCTTTCTTGCTTCATTTGTATCTTCTGGGGGTTGAGATGTCTGGAGAATGTAACTCTCTGAAAACTATTCCAAATCTCTTCTTATATTAACCAGGGTGGATTTTGATGGGGTCCAGTAGCAGGAAAGGAAATAACAATTGGATGTTAACACTCTTCATTATTGCAAAACTAATAATTTGTTGATTTGACAGCTCTGTACATTTGTTTCTAAACTTGAGGGGGAAAAAAGTATAATTCCTAACACTTTTTTTTCCAGGCTTAGGAAGAAAAAGTGTTAAGCATTAAATGGTGTTAAGCAACATCTTAACAGTTCCCTTTTCTGTGTTAACAGATTTATCTGCAATATTTATATAAAGGTTGCTCGCTCCCTTATTCCCCTGTTATAACAGTTATACATCTAGGCTGAATAGGAAAAAAAAAAGTTCTTGTTTTCATTTAACCCACAAGGCTGCGGTTGTTCCTTCTCCAAGCATTTCCAAAGGCAGAATTAATCCCTGTCCCCTTTCAGAAACACAACTCCGAGAGAAGTGAATGCAGCTAAAAGTTAGTTAAAAAGGTAGCAACTGCTACCCAATTTACCTCTCAAAATTACAAATCCATCAATTTTGCATGGATTTCTTAGGCAAGCATCATATGAGATGGAAAATCTGAATATTGGCCAACCTTAAAAATCTGGTTTTCCCAGTGGCAATGTAGGGCTGTGAAAGTTGGACCATAAGAAAGGCTGAGCGCCAAAGAATTGAGGACTTTGAACTCTGGTGCTGGAGAAGACTCCTGCGAGTCCCCTGGACTGCAAGGCGATCCAGTCGGTCAGTCCTAGAGGAGATCAACCCCGACTGCTCTTTAGAAGGCCAGATCCTGAAGTTGAAACTCAAGTCCTTTGGCCACCTAACGAGAAGGAAGGACTCACTGGAGAAGAGCCTAATGCTGGGAAAGATGGAGGGCAGTAGAAGAAGGGGATGACAGAGAATGAGGTGGCTGGATGGAGTCACCGAAGCAGTAGGCGTGAACTTAAATGGACTCCAGAAGATGATAGAGGAAAGGAAGGCCTGGAGGAACGTTGTCCATGGGGTCGCGATCGGTCGGACACGACTTCGCAACGAACAACAACAAAAAAAAATCTGCTGTTTATTCATGCTGGGTAAACTTTAGGTAGTCCTTGACTTAAGACCACAATTGAGTCCAAAATTTCTGCTGCTCAGTGAGACATTTATTAAGTGACTTTTGCCCCATCTTACAACCTATCCCGCCACAGTTGTTAAGCGAATCACTGCAGCTGTTCAGCTAGTAACACGGTTGTTAAGTGACTCTGGCTTCCCCATTGACTTTACTCGTCAGAAGGTCGCAAAAAGAGGATCACGTGACTCTGGGACACTGCAACTGTCGTAAGTGCATGCCAGTTGCCAAGCCTCCAAATTTTGATCACGTGACCGTGGGGATAATGGCCACAAGGGTGAAAAACGGTCATAGGTGGCTTTTTTCAGTACCCTTGTAACTTTGAACGGTCACTAAATGAACGGTTGTAAGTTGAGGCCTACCTGTACTTCCTGAAGGGAATTAGATGGAAAACCTATGTGGCTGGGTGGAGGAAATGGAAAGTCGGAGGAAAGTTTTGATCTACTTTTGGGTGCGAATGCTGCTTGGATTCATTACCCTGAGTGAGCCTTATCACTTTTAATCTCCCACCCCTCTTTTGTGTTTATCATAATCTGCCACTTAGGTGATGATGGTGGATGGTCTGAAGTGAACCATTATAAACCACTGTTGATTTATAAACACTGTCCGAGCATCTCCTTCTCCAGACCGCTAATCATATTCAAAATAGTCACTTCCATTGCAGCCCGATCATAAATTCCTATAATCGTGTTTTAAAACCAAAGTTAGCTTCTGCCAAATCGTAATTGAAGGAGGCTTCCTTTAGCTATCTGTCTCAATAAAACGTTAAACAAAAAATATATATCGTTGGTTCTTTTTCGGAGAGCTACATGTGCTGTAGGTATTAATGAGCTGTTGACATGTGAAATTTTCAAGGATGGATGCTAAGTGATTTAGAAAAGTCATTTGCAATTCAGAATACTCCGCTTGGCATTGAGTTTAAACTTGGAAGTTGCAAAAGTTTGAATGGAAATTTCGTGGGTGGAAGCAAATTGTGTATGCATGAAGGTTTTCTTCCCCGGTCACCTCTCTCCTGTCTTTGCAGATCTTTTTTTTTGAGGGGACGCTGCCCTGGCTTATCTGCAGGTTGGCTTGCATGATGAGGGCAGGAAAAAAGAAAATGGGAATTACTTTCCTTAGCTTCCTCAACTTCTATTTTAGCAATAAAATTAGGTTTGTTCTTCAACAGTTTTGTCAGCCGGGCATCATTTTTCAGCTGATTTTCAGTTAATGGATCAAAGCTCAGGCACTTCAGAGAACTTGGTAGAGCTATAATGGAAGTATTATTGGTAAGGCTTAAGCAGAACTTAACTGGTTATTGTGGAAGGAGAAAATTTGGTTTGGTTTTGATCTATCTTGTTCCTATTGAAGTAAGGCACTGCAATTAACGATTGGGAATGAATGGCTCATTTCCTGTATTATGCGAAGCCATTTAATCATTGTTTGCAAAATAAATGTGGACGGATTTGCCTGACGTGGCTTGTTAAAAGCAGAAATCTTTTATGTCTTGGAATGATCTCTGCCTCCACCCAATGAATTTGGATTGGGATCCAAATGGTCAATAAAGCCATGCCATTGCAATATCCCATAAGGGCATTGAAATTCTTTTTTTCCCCTTCTCATCCCTGTCTCCTCCCTACCAAAGCCCTGATCATATCGGGGCACATTCTGGAGGAATTTGCTGTCAGGATCAGAAACTCTAGCTGGAAGGGAACGTGTCCCCTTACTTGATATATCTCCACACTTCTATTCTGCCTGCACATGAAAATGTTTGAACTCTCTACACTGCGTTTGATAATAGTAGCCTTGGTGTAAACTGTTGCTGTACGGTTATAGAACTGAACTTCTTCTTTTAAGAGTAAATGGTACATTCTGCTAACTCCTGCCAATGCAGCTTGTGGGCCGATCGTTTTTTGTTTTTGTTTTTGTTCTGTTGTCAATGCTGCTAACATCGGATGTTCTCGCTTTGACAACATATGAAGATGCAGCCATTTTCTCTTTAACCTGTGTGTTATTTTTAGAGTTAGAATCAGATGATGCTGGGGGGGGGGGAGAGGAGGGAAGAATGTGTATGGGGATTAGTTAGACATAACAACATCGCAGTAGAGTATTCTTCAAGGCTGTTTGAAATAAGAGACGATAAGGAATGGCGGGTTATGGAACTGGAGGGAAGGTCTGCATTTCAAACTAATTGGAGAATGTGATTTATGACTGTTAATTGGAGGAGGGAATTGTGCTTTGATACCGTGTGCTCAGGGGAGGGGAATTCAGATTTTGCCTTCAACTATGTTAGTGCTGAAGCTATGTTACTCCAATAAAGATTCTTTAAGATAAACAATGCCTCAAAGTTCTTTGAAGAGTTTCATTTTTCGGAACCATGACATCTGTTTTATTACTTTATATAATAACTCAAGGCAGCAAACACGCACAATACGTCTTCCTCCTTCTACTTTCTCCACAACAACAGCCCTATGGAAATGAGTTGTGCTTGTAGAAATAGGCTGGCCCAAAGTCACCCAGCTGGCTTTCATGGCTAAGGCAGAACTAGAACTCACAAGTCTCCTGGTTTCTAGGCCAGCACCTTAACCACTACTCACTGATACTTGTAATAAGCAGTCTGCCGGGTACCGAATCCAATCAGTTACCTAGCTATGCACAGTTCTTCCTTCATTGGAAGCAGCAAACATTGACCAACACCCTTCACAAGACCCTCACTTGACACACCCACACCTGAAGCCCTTATAAGCAGAAGAACACTGACACACACCCTAAACTCCGCTGAAGATGTTACCCAGCCTGGCGAGGAAATGTTCGAAAACCAGCCCACAAGCTCGGAGAACGAACCTTCTCCTTCATTGACCAACGCATTTCGCTGTCACCAAATGCGACAGTCTTGTCCTTAGTGGATCCAGTGACCACGTGATAACGAAGCACTCGTAATTTTTAAATTAAAACCTGATCCAATTGGCCAATCTTGCATTTATTTATTTATTTATTTATTTATTTATTTATTTATTTATTTATTTATTTATTTATTTATTTATTTATTTATTTAATTACATTTATATCCCGCCCTTCTCCTTACGGACTCAGGGCAGCTAACAATCAGATAAAATACAAAAATACAGTACACATTTAAAATTAATTAAAAAGAAATATTTAAATCTGATCCGATTAAAAGTGATTAAAACCCCTTTAAAATCCCTTAGGCCAGTCCCGCAAGCTGGAACAACCATGTCTTGAGGGCGCGGCGGAAGGA